GCTTACAATGGCATAGCAATATATATATATATATATATATATATGTATGCAACAGGCTTGTTACCATCAAACATTAAGACATATACTTTGAGGGTGTCTTTCAATTAAGAATTGAATGCTTCTTTTTGTAACTTCTTTGGGGGTGTAAAAGCGTTGACCGAAGTATATTTTGTATGAAGCGCGGAAGCTACTGTCCCATTGACTTTTACCCGGGACATTCATTCCTTTTCTCAAAATTTAGAAACAAAAGGGCTAACTTGTGTACGTAAAAATGTCAATCTTCATTGGATGCATAAAAACGCAGCCACAATATATCCAATTCCGCGTATGCGCAATCCTTGCAACAACTCTTCGATGTTTTGTAGAGGGCTCATTGCAATGGAATGTTTTAGCCCCTATCCAACAAACATTTTTTTAGTCTCGGTGCAGTTTGCAAACCTTCCTATTTTTTTGATTGATAAATAAATTGTTTTCGTCACAAAGGTGCGTGAAATATTTGCCACTTGACATTAAGCAAACAACCATCAAATTGCATATCCATAGTTGAGTCTCCAATTTTCTCATATCGCGCACTGACTCATGTATAGTTAGGTGTATTCCTTACAAACTTACACTGATGTTTCAAATTGGATTGTTAAAGGAAGATTCCTTTCCATTTTGACAATTTTCTGATCTGTTGTTATAGATTTACGGGGCTTTCTTAAACTGTCAGATTTAATTATATTTTTTCTCATGCTGTGTCGTATTTGAGTGAGCTTGGGTCAATTTTTATATCCTAATGACAGTTTTTCTACATAGCCATTTTACTTACTTCTGAATAGATGCCTTCTAGATATTCCATTTTGTACTTGTAACTATTTCAATATGCACAATAAAGGTGTATCATGCGCTCTTGGCTTAGCTGTTTATTATTTTATACATATGAAAACTGATTGGAAGATTTTAATTACATCACCGCGAAAATTGAGAAACAATATCACAAAAATAAAGTACATTACACATGTAACTTTTAAAATGCGAAATTTAAAAACAGTTGAACTTTACTGAACCTTGAACCTCTCATTTCGATGATTTTATGACCTATAATGGACAGTCAAAACTATTTTCGACTTGCATATAATACGGATATCGTTTTATTGAAATTTGCAGTAATACAATTTTGGGAATCATTTAAAATTAATGAATGAAATTTCCCATATGCATAGCTCTGATTCCATGTCCTGGTTCGGATTTTCTTTTAGATACTTTAGTGTTTGCTCTGTTTTTCAACGTTTGAAATAAGTTTAACATTTTTGGAATATTGAGCCTCGAGCATCACTGGAGAGATAATAGTTGTCGAAATAGGCGTCTGGTGCAGTACAATTTGTACCGTTAATGTCATTACAACAAAAGAAGGTGGGGAACTTTCTACTGCACAGACTGAACTTGAATCAATGAGTTTTCAGTTGGATTTCAGATGCATCTCATACTGCTGGAGAACCGTCATCGGATTCTATCACAATGTGTGAAAAACGAGTTTAATAAATACCAGAATAAAAGTTTTGTATCTAAAAAAATTTTCGTTTGACTGTGTGAGAAAAAGAGAGGCGAAAGATACCAAAGGGACATTCAAACTCATAAGTCGAAAATAAACTGACAACACCATGGCTAATAAAGAAAAAGACCAACAGACAAACAACAGTACACAAAACACAACATAGAAAACTAAAGACTGAGCAACACGAACCACACAAAAACTGGGGGTGAAGTCAGGTGCTCCGGAAGGTCCCTTAAAACAACTCGTTGATGGTTCATAGGCGGCCAGTTATTCATGTTTGTGTTTTGTAAGTCATCATTTCAGCCGATACTTAAAACCTTCGTTTTCATGTGACAGACTGAATTCCAAAGTCTTCATCTAAATGATTCTGATTAAACGTTAAACAAAATTTTTTTTTTTCAATACAATCTTTCTTATTTAAATGATATTTTTATACACATTAGCCTTACCTTTTATAAACAGAATTTCGTCATAATGTTGTGTTGTGGGGTTTTTTTTCTTTCTTTCTTGATGTCCTGTTGCAACGCCATCACGAGTTGGTTGACCGTTATGGAATAACCGTTTCACAGATGATATCGGATATGTTCCTTATGTCGTAACTACAATACCCTCCCTTTTCACGAATGTAACTTATCGAATTAGACTATTTACCGGATTTGTAATAACACAAGCAACACGACGGGTGCCACATGTGGAGCAGGATCTGCTTACCCTTCCGGAGCACCTGAGATCACCCCCAGTTTTTGGTGGGGTTCGTGTTGCTAAGTCTTTGGTTTTCTATGTTGTGTCATCAGTACTATTATTTGTCTGTTTGTCTTTTTATTTTTTGCCATGGCATTGTCAGTTTGTTTTCGATCTATGAGTTTGACTGTCCCTCTGGTATCTTTCGTCCCTCTTTTGCAAATAATAGTTCACAAACATTAAACTTTACATTTTACATGCATAATGAAAAACAAATCCATGACACAAATTCAGTACATGCACAGCAAAAAAACGAACACAAAAAAAGGCAAAGGAACAGCGCGTTTATTATTATTTATTTTATTATGACTATTGATGAATATGTAGTAGTTAATACTTTTTTAAGTATTAGTTTGCATTAAATATATCGCCAAATATTTTTTTTTTCTTTGTTCAATGTCAACCGGCCCCTATTTTTTATTCGTATGATTTATCTTTAATTTTGAATAAAGATGAAATATGTGCCTTTAAGACAAGAACACTCTGTATTTGTATCCACAAAAAGTCAGTACGGTATTTCATATATAAAAAGCTTTTAATTCTTGGTCTAGTTAACTAGAAATATTCCATGTGCGTAGTTTTCAATGTTCTAACATAAGTCGACGGTAATTTACCTATGATCAAATCTCATAACTCGATTAAGAAGACAAATCAAGGTACAAACAAAAACTGAGGGGCCGCAATAATCTCTAACCGGAACGAGACCGGAAGCGTCAACAGGGTAAACGTCTTCTGCTATACAAGCATCACCCGCCATGTGAATAGAATACACACACATGTCAAAATATCACGATCGGGAATAGGACACAACCAGTAAAATTATAGACGACTATTCGGGTATCCAAAGATCTAAGACTGAGAAAATATGTCGCTTATTAGTTGAGACACAGAAATATCGTCAACCAATTCGTGATGGGAACCGTTTAAGGTTAAAGGGAAGTAATTAACGATGACTGGCGTCACATAGTTTTTACATCAAAGATAATAGGTAGATGTAAATTTATTTTCTGCTGGCCTGTTAATTAGAAAAGAAAATTGAAATAGTGAGAAATGAGTGCTAGTTATTGGTGTAAAAATAGCGAGAAATTTGGAGGAAACTCTTTGTGCAAAATTTAGCAAGGAGTGTTCTTTGTGCATACTAATCCGTAACCATAGAGTAAGGTTGAAAAACGTCATTTTTCTATAAAAAAAAAAAAGCTGCGGCACTTTATATGTTTTGCAGTTTTATTCACATCCAAAGGGGTTTTTTAACGGAACTTTTACAGTGAAAACGCAGAACTCAAAAAGGCTGCCATTGTCGCCTATGTAAATAGTTACCTCATTTTAACCTTAAATTATGAAGTGTCGATTTAAGTCGTCCTTCCTCATTTTCATACCTTTTGGGACCGTTGTATAAGAAGCACATGCCTGCTAATGAAGTCCGTATATTGTGAACATGCATGAGCGTTATGTATCAATTTTGATATTTGAATGCTATTAATCGAAAGTTGACATTACTTTTGTCAAAAAATACTAGTTTGAAGTAATATAGAAATAAGAAGATGATTGCCAATGAGACAACTATTCACCAGAATTCAAATGACGTGGATATAAGCAATTGCAGCCCTCCGTATGCCCTTCAGCAATGATAAAACCTTATTCCGTATAGCTATAAAAGATGCTGACAAGAAAAATGTGAAACAATTTAAATGAGAAAACTATGTTGCCCCTGTAAAATATACCCTCTTAAATTGATGACAGACTTATTTCCCGGTTTATATCACAGACCGTTCATTATGAAGTAACAAAACCCCAATTTATTGTTGTTTTTCATAAAGAATATTCCTTGAATACTTTGGTGTGGTTCTTGTTGCTCTATGTAATGTTTTGCTATTGTTGTTTGTTCTTTAGTTGTTTTTTCCCCATACAAGTATGTTTTATGTATTATTGGGCTTATGATTTTTGATTGCCCCCTTTCTTACTTCTCTTTCTCTTCTTTGTGAGCCAGCATATTAAATCTATTTCAGTTTGTCTGTCTTGTACAAAGCAGAAATCTGATTCATTTCACCTTAACATGTTATCCTCTTTAAATGCACGTGATACCGGTACCTGTCAACAGTCTCCGGAACAAGTTTGCAATTCCGCTGAGTGCAAAAGTTGTCACCTTAATTTTTGGAGGTAGGTAAAAATAAAGTTGATAACTTGGTTGGTATTGGTATTTGCACTCAGCGGAATTGCAAACTTGTCCCGGAGACTTGTCGCTGGATGTTGAACATTACGTTAAATCTTTTAAGAAATGTAAAATCTGCATAATAATAGTCTGGTCATCGGAATAGATTGCAGGTAAGTTTCAAACAAGTATAAAATTGAGCATGGAAATGGGGAATATGTCAAAGAGACAACAACCCGACCAAAGAGCACTCAACAGCCGAAGGCTGTCCATTTGACAAACTTTAAACTGGAAAGTAAGTCGTCTGAAAAATTATTCAATAGTTTCAATGCAAAGTAAGACAACTTTTGTCCTATCAATAAAATATTAATATCTCGTTGGAATGAAATAGATTTCTAACACTTAATATCATTTCAAATGGCTAGTTTATGTAATTGACAAAAGAAAATTGATAATACCTCATGTAATCAATGAAAGATGCCGATTTTAAAATGATTTAGTTTCAGGTGTTTTAAATGCCATCAGTTAGGATATATGTTGATAGGTTGCTATGGCAACTGCATTCACGTAAGTATAGGGTTGACAAATCGATACGATTGTTCAATAATTAAATGGAAGCAAATGATGTCTTTGGATTATCCTGTTTAAGTGCCATATTAACACGCAGTTTAATGGTGAATACAAAAGGAATTGAAATTTAAAAGGTAAATATGTTTTACGGTACTTGAAGATGCACGTGAAGGATAATTTACATATGTGTGTACATACATCCTCCTGGTTCAAACAAATGACCACACAATATTACAATTGTATATTCTTTGTTAAGTAATGACTGAAAAGTATAATTTTCTATTCACTCTAACGTTTTGTCGATTTTTATTTTCTCGGACCATTTGGTTTTGCTTTTAAAATCAACGTGTTGGTCGCTTTCGGCATTTCTTAATTGGTTAATTTATAATTCTGACGTTATATTTTCTTCTTGTCTTCTGATTTTATTTAAATATGACGTCAAGGTTAATTTAACGACAACCATGCATGCAGGTGACTGAAAGAAAAAACATTTGTTTGCAGATCATTGACAGAGAACGGCTAATAATTCCACCACTGAATCTATTGTGATTCAATTACGATATTGTTTTAATTTAATACACTCGGCAAGCCTTTCGTTTAAAGAAAATTGAAAATATAACTGTAGGAATCTCGTACCTGAGGTTTTTGGAATCTATTTTATTATATAGGCCGTTAGTTTTCTTGTTTGAATTGTTTTACATATGTCTATCGGGGCCTTATGTAACTTGCTATTGGGTATGGGTTTTGCTCATTGTTGAGGGCCGTACGGTGACTTACAGTTGCTTACCTTCTACGTCATTTGGTCTTTGGTGGAGACTTCATACCACATCTTCTTATTTTTATATAACCTCATTTTTAAAAGAAATATATAACTGTCTGGAGACATCGTATCTGATGTTTAAGAATCTGATATTATACTATACAAATTGAACAGTAGTAAAAAAACATTATTATTTTTACCTTTGGATAAGATACAGAAGAAATCTTATAAGACCATTGCAATATAGTCGATAATGAAAAATAAAATATTATAAGAACTGAAATTACAATCAAACAACCGGAAAAAAAAGAATCAATTACATTAATTTCAATTGATTTTTGTAATTGCCTTTAAAGGGGCATTAGCTGTCAAGTCATGTTCACTGATTTGACTCAAATTCTCATATTTTATCTATAACATACTCAAACGTATATCCAAATTACAAAGTCTGAAATAAACAATTAATGATGCATGGACTCAATAGTATGTATCAGCATTTCGTGTGTATTTTAGTCTAGATGCCTACTAATTAACCACCGAGATGACCTACGAACACTGCCGACGGTCAAACAACCTGATGTTAACATGAATATGAATATAAATAGATAGCGAGCACGTGTAATTGGAATTTTCTAGGTCTGTTTGATTTCATATTCTAAGTTAAAAGATATGTAAATCATCGTTTTTACCTGTATAAGAATGATTTTTTGTGGATAGAATCAGTCAAATAAATGGTTCACCCTTGTTTCACTTTCAATGTTGGCATTTTTTCCCTTTTAATAGGTCATGCGTAACCCATCTCCAGCTAAGGGGTTGAATTGAAGATCCCATGAATACGGATTCAATGAGATTGAATTTTTGACTTGCAAGTCAATAATAGATCAGCGAGGTTTTTGAGCTGATTTTGACAATTTTGAACCAAACTGACTGCTTAAAACGAAATAGTATTTCTAAATTCCGTTTTTATAAATACTTGAAATAACAAGAATCGTATTCTAATTTTTGTTTAAATCGTAGCTAATATCCCTGTAAATAATAATAATTTTATTCGCAAATTACACCCATATTGTTCAAGCTCAAAACACAAAATATAACACAATATCAAGACAACAGTAAAGAATTACAAGCAATAAATGATGCATGTACATGTAACATCCATGTACATAATTTATATGAAATATCAACCCTCGTCATACATGACCATTGATTTTTTTGACATTATTTCTTTCTACTAATTATCATAAGGGTGTTTGTTGCCTTAACAGCTTTTGTATTTTATCCTCTTTCAGATCTAAGTATAACTTTTACATACATAACTCTATTTACCCACAACTAATTAACTTATGAATTCCATAATACGCCTCTGAAACAAAGTGGCAAAATTGTACGCAACAACTTCATTGTATATAAACCGCCATAATATAGAATTGAGAATGGAAACGGGGAATGTGTCAACATTATATAATAACCCTTTTCTCATATTTGATTTATTTATCCGTGAAAACACAAGAAGGGTCTAAAACTCGACATTTGTATGTTAGTGTTATCGTTTAAATTGTTTTACATTTGTAATTTCGAGGCCATTTATAGCTTACTATGCAGTATGAGTTTGCCCAAGGCTGTACCTATAGTTGCTAACTTCTACGTCATTTGGTCTCTGGCGTAGAGTTGTCTCACTAGCAAGCGTCCCACATCTGCTTATTTTTATATTAAACGGGGAAATTAAACTAGACCTTTTGATTTTAATGAAATCCACAAAGGCGTAACCCGCTGAATACGAAATAGAATGCTTTAAAAACTAATAATATGTTATTGCATGGTCAAATAGTTGTCCTTATCCAAAAAAAACCAACCCATAAGGTTGACTGGGTGTATAGATGTATGTTCTTCCGTCCTGCAGAAGAGGGGTTTCGTTATGATGTGCTAGATGCATAAACACGCGGCAATTTACAGTCCGAATTTGGAAATTTAATCCAGTTACGCTGGTAAGAAAAAGGCACGGTTTCTATGCGTTAAGAACTTTCCACCAACCCTTCGAGCGATTGGTAAGTGGCCTCTCGCAAGTGAAATGTTTTTCCCTGTCCAAACTGTCCTTTCCAGTTAGAGATTTAATTCTCCGACCTTCATCCTGAATGCGCCACTTAGCGGATTATACATTTTAGATTTATTTTCCTGAATATGCATGAAATATTTGCTACTGGACGTAGGACAAACGATCAATCAATCCGACAAACCCTTTTTCCAGTATCAGTTCGAAAGTTTCGATCAGAATATATCAATATATTTTTTTTTATTTCAAAAAAAGGAAGATGTGGGACAAACTACGTACATTGATCGTTTCCGTTCCGGACCTTTTTTTCTTTACTCCGTCAATTAGTGTAGAGTAGTATGCAGATCGGAGCTGGAACTGCCGGGGAGTTTGGATGTGGGATATACGTGGATAAGATAGCAACACAAAGACAAAAACAAACAATAGACGTATAGAGGGCAACAGACAATCTTCGACAATAAACAATAGGCGTATAGAGGGTAGCAGACAATCTTCCAATCTTCGACAAAAACAATAGACGTATAGAGGGCAACAGACAGTCTTCGACAATACACAATAGGCGTATAGAGGGCAACAGACAATCTTCCGATTTTCGACAATAAACAATACACGTATAGAAGGCAACAGTCAATCTTCGACAATAAACAATAGACGTATAGAGGGCAACAGTCAATCTTCGACAATAAACAATAGTCGTATAGAGGGCAACAGTCAATCTTCGATAATAAACAATAGACGTATACAGGGCAACAGACAATCTTCGACAATAAACAATAGACGTATAGAGGGCAACAGCCGGACAATCTTCGACAATAAACAATAGACGTATAGAGGGCAACAGACAATCCTCGACAATAAACAATAGACGTATAGAGGGCAACAGCCGGACAATCTTCGACAAAAAACAATAGACGTATAGAGGGCAACAGACAATCTTCGACAATAAACAAATGTAGATTTAGTATGTCAAGCTTTAAACGTCCCGACTTTATTAAAGTTGTAAATAAATAAAACACCAACTATGAAACACCAAAATTTTCCAACTAACGAAATACGTTAAAGTATGACACAAAACGTCCCCTGACGAGATTCCCGTTCGGCAACAGGCAAGTGATTATGTGTCTGGCTTAAACAAGTTTGTAAATTTGTTTTATGGCTGAAATATTTGCCACTTAACGTTGAACAAGCAATAAATTTAACAACGTCTGGTTCATCAAATAGGTCAGAGCCGGTTTCAATACATACATAATTAAAGAAATATAGTCATATGATTAAAATAATGAACATAATGTTTAAAACTGCTCTTTTTTTAAGTAAAAAACTTTGAATGCGTCTTGCATTTATCTTGATGTATACCATAAAAGTGAACAAAGAAATTAGGCCTGAAATACTAATGCCTTTAACAAAATATTTTACATGTTTACAATAATATAGGTCAGTAAACATGGTAAACTATCTTTAAACATTTTGCAAATGTAATTTAGCCTGTCATATTGTAAAGTTTGTTTTAAACGTGTGCAGACAATCTATAGGAATTTTAAACATTGAGGCTGAAAGACCGATTCCTTACATTACAACAAGGCTTGATATGGGTTTAACAATATGGTCACCTGGTACTCATCCATGAAGGATCAGTTTTCATTTTGCTGTGCGGGTTGTATAAATACCCATTCACGTTCGTTCGGAAAGTTGACCTGACATGCGTTGCCTCGTGTAGGGAGAATGCCACGTTCTCCGCACGTTTAGAAATCATTGTAACAACTATGCGAGGGACCAACAGTTGGTCTGTTCAAGGATTTGTATAGTTAGAATTTTTTTGCCCGTTCCCAGCATACCCTATTTTTCCATGGCAGTCTAAATATTTCGTCCCTATCAAGGTCCTTCCAATTTTCAAGACATATAATAGAAAAACAAAAGATATGGGGTACCCATCCATGACACAAAATCAGTACATGCACAGCAAAAACACACAATAAGCAAGGGAACAGCGATTTTATTGTCCTCAATATACAATATTTATGACGGGGTGGGGAATTAAAACAACCATTAATCAATTGTACGAAAATATTTAAATATTTATACTTGTTTGCCAATTAAAAAAAAATTGCATGAATGTGTCATTCAACAGCCAAAAAATTCAAACATCATTTTAGAAAACGACAATTTGTTTACCCCGACATTCAGTCAAGTGGCCAGTGCATTTTGAAAACAGGGCATTATTAACGTCCCTGAGTTTGTCATATAATCAAAATGTAGGGGGAAGCTCCAAGGAGACACTTTCAGCCAAAATAATTCAGTTATTACGACTATAAAAAAATCATCTTTCAGATTTGAAATGATCTCGACCATTTAAAATCTCGATTACGTCCTTTTTTTCCCTTTTTATGTACAATTTTATTTGAATATATCTGGATTTGTTTTAGACACAAACATAGTTCTAGCCCAATCATAGATCTTGTCTGCTTATATCTTTTCTTCAAAATTTTTGAAAATCTGTTGAACTGATTTTGACCGCGGTAAAAAAAAATGCGATTATACGGCGTTAAATACTAATTAATCAATCAATAAACATCATCAAATTAGTTATCAACAAGGTACTGAACACAGGATATGAAAATTCAATTTTTTTTTTTCAATTTCAGGGACCAAATAATGACTCATATATATAATAACTTATACTTTCATATAATAAATATTACATTAATGACGTCATTTAAAACATATAGAATTTAATTTCCCTTTCCATTTTAAGTCTTTCTGAACATATTACTTAAACCTCGTACTGACAACACAAATAATATTAATTTGTTTCGAGTCTTATAGTTTAATTTGCTGTAATATCGATCAAATTGATTAGAAAATTCACTGTTTAAACATTTTTTTTGTTTACCAATCGAAAGCAAATTTAATTAATGGTGTCAATAAGTTAAACACCACTTAATCATTGCTGTGTTTTATTATTTATATATTTGCTGGGTTGTATTAAGGTTGGTTTTTTTTTCATTAGGTCCCTATACCCATGACAGAGAATGTGTCAATAGGGTTATGCTGGATTCATAGATACTCAGTCACGTCCCATGGGAAGGTCCGTTCAATCCGATACCTCGTGTTAAGGGGCACCCAACACTTTCATTAAAATAGATTTGGCTCGTTTAAACTTTCATAATTTTTTGACACAAATAATTATTTTGACCTGTTGACAAAAATATGAAAATTTCAAAAAATTTGAACCACACATTTTACAGGAATAATTTCATTGGATATATAGCAGTTTGACAAACACTAATTTTAATCCTTGAGAAGCTTTATTTTTCTTCACTAATAATATGTGATTAAAACGTTCATCTGATTTTTAAAGAGTCAACTCCTTTAGGTGTTCTGTACCCCCTTAAGAGATTGCTTTGAAAGGTCCGTTGCAATCTATCGACAGTTATAATTATGCATGAACTACTTGCCAAAGGACGTTTATAATATTCATATTTCTTGGGTTTTTTTTAATCTGTATATCATATTTGTTTTTCATTCATTATTTTGAACATAAATCAGGCCGTTAGTTGTCTCGTTTGAATTGTTTTACATTTGTCATTTTGGGGCCTTTTACAGCTGACTATGCGGTATGAGTTTTACTCATTGTTGATGGCCGTACGGTGACCAATAGGTGTTAATTTCTGTGTCAATTGGTCTCTTGTGGAGAGTTGTCTCATTGGCAATCATACATGTACTACATCTTCTTGTTTTTATATGTAGAGTTCTGAGTAGAAACGCAGTTTGTTTTTATCAAAAAGTGACCAAGTTTCTGGTGGTCTTCTTGGAGTTATTTTAAATAATTTTCTAGTATACGGATATTTCGACCTTGTCATATGACAAAGACACTGATATAATTAATATACGTCGTTCTGGGATATTAATACTCGATTATCACGTACCTTTGCGCCTCAACGGTTTACTGTTGAGTCAAGTTTTCCTTCTTATATATATTTGCAAAGCCTAGAAATTTGATGAATCGTTATTTTTCATCGTCCTTAGTAATCATAAGTTATTGGACACTGGACTTTATTTCCATGTCAAAATGATTTTTACCGTTAGAACTTATGTTGTGCTCCGACACTATTGTCTCAGGTTAGTGGAGGTTTAAGACCTCACAAACATGTTAAACCCCGCAACATTCTTTATGTGCCTGTCCCCAGTCGAGAGCTTGTATTTCCGTGATTGTCGTTTTATCTTTCATAAGTTTGTTACGCTTATTGTTTTGTCGTAAATTAGGCCGAGAAAATCATGCACACGGAGGAGGGCTTCATCTAGCATACCACATCAACTTTTTGTATTTTCAAGCTAACACTCAATTAATCTTCTGTTAATGGTACCATGTTACATTAACTGTAAAGATTTCCCCCATTTAGTTAAACAGTCATTGCAACTTTGGTATATTCACTGAAATGATTGATTGGTTGATTGGTGTTTAACGCCACTTTCAACACTATTGTGCTATTTCGTGGCGGTCAGTTTTCATTGGTGGGGAAGCCGAGTGCCCGGAGAGAAACACCGACCTTCGGTAGGAAAACTAACAATTCTAGTCAATTAAAATTGAAGTCGAGTGCACCTGCCCCGTGTGGGATTCGAACTCACAACCTCGGTGTTGACTGGCTAGTGATCCAGTAGTTGGACTACCCTTGGACCACTCGGCCACCGAGGCCCCCTCACTGAAATTATGGTATAATCTATTCATGTTAAAATTCATTGAAACGTTTATATAAACTATGCATATTAGCGTTCTTTGGAACGTTTCATAATCTATTCATATTAGATTTTATCGAAACGTTTAAATTACCTATTTGTATTAACATTCAACGTTTAAAAATACCATTGAAATATATCTATTTAGATCAGACTGATTGATTGTACTTTATCCCATTAGTTTTTACAGTCAGTTCTGTTTGTGTTCCACTGGCAGGTATAGCTAACCAAATTCATCTTCTAATGAGTAGGTAGAAGCTCTGTGAATAATTTACCAAAAACAAAACTTATTAAAGTTTAGAAAAAGATCGATTGACGAACAGTACAACCACGTGTTTGTCTGGAATCAATGAACTTCCGGTTGTGTTGCCAGTGTATACTGTATTATTATATATTGTTTCCCTTTCTTGCAGCCGAGTACTTACTGGTAAATGAACATCGACGAAAATCAATGACACACCAAACTGTTCCCTTATGTTGTTGTTACTTCTATCAACATTAGTTATTTTTGGTAAGTAACTTTTATCAACATGATTTTAATTATTTTTGGTAAATATTCGTTTTAAAATATCTATTGAAAAGGGGGGTGTGAGTCTAAGTTGTCTACAGGTGTGAATATGAGGTCATGTCAACCTGTGATTACTTCTGTATTTGACCTGGGCATTTTTTTTTTTTTTGCCTTACAATGAGCAACAGCAAATATTTTTGCCACAAATAAACAACGATAAGATGAGTCAACTACATGTATCTCCATGCGTGACACTGTTGATAAATTTTAAATATGTGTACAAATGATTTTTTGTTGTCAAATGTGATATCTTGTGCATCGACCTAATCATTAAATTTAATAAATTTATATCAAATAACTTTTGGGGTTTTTGTTTTACTTTTTTTAAATTTGGGGATATAAAGAAATCTTATAAAACCTCATTTTTACGTTAGAATACAGCAAACCAAAAAGTTCAAAAGCAATTCTCACTATATCCCACTACCAAGTTGGAAAGTCGATGAAACCAGGTAGACTTTAAGAAATGATAACTACTTTCCCTACAAATATGATGTTTCTCAGTTTTCCCTGCTGTTGAGTAAAATGTTCATAAAATATACAAATGTTTGCCAAATTCCAAAATTAACGGACTTGTTTAATTTGTTTTCGTTCTGAATATGCATGCAATATCTTTCATTTGTCATTTATCTAAACACCAGTCACTCATCTTTTTATTTCGTAACTGTAGAGGTTATTGGAAGAACTTTTATTTTGATTATTTTACAATGTATTTAGCCAGTTACTGAAAATTGATTTATTGATTGATTGATTTATGTTTAACGCTACTTTCACCACTATTGTACTATTTCGTGGCGGTAAGTTTTTATTGGTGGTTCAAGCAGGACTGCCTGGAGAAAACCACCGACCTTCGGTAGGAAAACTGACAATCGTAGTCAATTAAGATTGGAGTCGAGTGGTGCGCACCTGCCACGTGCGGGATTTGAACTCACAACCTCAGCGTTGACAGGCCATTGATACAGTAGTTCGACTACCTTTTTCTTTTTTCCCCGACTACTTAGACCACTCGGCCACCGAGGCCCCCTGAAAATTGATACAAACGCATAATTTAACTGAATTCGACATCATCCAAGGTAATATACAGACAGATGAAAATAAATGATTGTTTCTCTAACGAGAACATCGTATCAGTGATCAATATTATTTAATATTATTTGTAAAACCCTATTTGAATTCAAAGTGAAAACTCGCGTGATTTGAAAGCATTCTAGCGTATTTAAACGTGATCGTATTAGAAATCATTTGATGTTATAAGGTTATACTGATCATTTACCTGTTACTTAATATGCAATAGCTTATGTTATGAACCTGGCTATTGTTCAAATCAATAATGTCTTCGTTTCAACAATATTAGCGCCAATAGATTGGACACAATTGATACAATTATTAATAAGATAAACGCCAATAACGTCACATCAAAAGCACATATTCAAGTGTTAGATTTAGATCCAAAAGTTTTTAGAAAATATGATAAATATTCGAGGTATTGGGAAATATAAAACCAAAGTTGCCTAAATGATAATCAAATTAATTAATTGAAATTGTTTAACTCTCAGATCCAAAAGTTTGAAAAGTTCTAATATATATTTTACATGCATACATTGCGTTAAAAAAATTCACTGGAAAGAGAAGGGGTATATTTTTGGCACCTTGAATTCGAAAATTAAAATACAATATTTTACATGGTTTTATCAACCAAAATCCCTGAGATGTTAAAAAGACTTAAGTTTTTTCAGATTTCAGTATCAATTTTATTTTATTTTGCCCTTCATTTTTGGTTTATTATGGAAAGAAGTCTTACTTTTAAAACTTTTACTTTTTACTTTTACAAAACTGTAAAAAAAAGTTTTAATTTATACTAGTGTGTCATTTATGTTTAGATATTAGTCAATGCCTTAATCAAACAGATAGTTGGCTGCAAGATGTCGTACACAAATATTTTCATTTGAATTGAAACATCTTTTGGGGCAAGGTCGTGGCTCTTTTATAATTTTTCCAAACAGTGTGTGTACAATATTCATTATAGGTCAATATTCAATTCCAACACGTTTATGGGATCAATTTAATATCACAACCGACATTTTTGCACTAAAGTTTCCAAATTATATAATTCCATTCACTTATCGACTTTTATAAGATAATTGTGGAAGGATGACAGAATACACTATTTTTGCAATTGCAGAGGCCTGATAATGGCTCCTAACATACTCCCTCCTATATTATCTGATTGAAGGTTGAGGCCTCGGATATACGTTCCCAGAGAGATATTAAATGATGATGATGATGATGTTGGATGGCTGTTTAACGGCCTATGTATATTCAGAACGAGAACATGTTAATGTAATGTGAATATTAATCCTGCTTTGTACTAGAAGGATTTTTAACGTGCAAGTTCACAAGGTAACAGTCCGCAGGAAGACAGGTCACCTTACCCGGACACATTTTTCTGACTCCGAGCCGACCAGTCTTTACTCTTATTCCTTAATGCCGCGTGCTTAGCGGAGAGGCAGTAAATGCCAATTTTGAAGTCATTGTTTTGACCCGGCCTGGGTTCGAACCCACTACCTTCCCATTCGAGACGAACACGCTACCTCGAGACCTCCGAGGCGGTGATATATTAGATAAGTTCTATTGTCGGTAATGAAATGATATATGTTGCACGTTAAAAACGAGCTCAACAGGACATAACATATATTCTGTTCTTCTTCGCTATGCTCATACGAACATAAAAATTGTCTTAATGATAAGTAAATAAAACAAAAGGTAATGTGGAATGAGAATCGCACTGATCAGTTTAATGATAAATCATGAAAATTCTTTAAAGCTTGGTCTCCAAAGCTCCGAATAAATGGTAGGAATTCTAAAATAGAAAAAAATGTTCAATCTAAAAAGAAATAATTCTATTGAATAACTCATCATTCGTGCAAAATAAACGGGTCAATTCTGATCAGTGAATTTTTTCTCGAACAAAGACAGGCGCAAAATCGAAAAATATTCAGCATTATTTTATGGAAAAGTTTCCAATACGTAACTTTAAAGATCAATCAACGGTTTTATCTTTTACTTTTAATTGAGTAAAGAATTTTTAATCAATTATGTATAATGTTGATATTTAACCTAAATATAAATCACCAGTTTACCATTTTAAAACAATCAATAAGTCATATTTATAACATTAGCACATACTAACAACTTCTCGTCCAATCAAATTGCTTGAAGTTGCCTTCAAATGTTCATAGTACATACCTTTTCCATGTACTAAGTAACTACGCATGAATGACCACAAGGGTAATATTTCATTGTATCGTAATCAAGCTTTTAAAACAAAAATTGCCGCTGTCTATTTTGAATAAAATGTTGTGTCCCAAATTATATTCATTAGTTTATAATTAGTGTTCACATTGATTTTTAAATATCCTGCTATTAAATTTTTGGATCTAAAAAATGTTATTGACAATTGCAAGTTTCTTTCATTTAAATAAAGAGTAACAAATATGGTACCTAATACCTTTATGAGAATACAACGCTAACTTAAAATTGTGGTAATTTATCATCCATGCAATTACTTTGTACACAAAAAAGTGTGTACTTTGAAACCTTGTGAAGGGAAATTAAGGTAACTTGATGATTTCTTTTGAACTTTCTTAAGGAAATTGCTCTATTTCGTCATAAACTGATTGATTGTTGGTTACTAAATATCCAGTGGCAAATATTTCATGCATGTTCGAACGATGTCATGAACATAAATGTTTTCAAAACATGAATTGAAAAACCGTGATAATTTCTGAAGGGAATGTGCCACCTATATACATGTATGTATATACATATTCCGATAAATCTTTTATTTTTTTCTTTAAAATATAAAAAATCACAAAACCTATAATCTTTGATCTATTGGTAGTTTCCTTTTAATGCATATCCGCTAGACTATCTATGGGGACATGCTGTCTATATGTTTCAAATTTATTATATAGCTTTAGGTTTACTGTGAAATTGAAAAATGTTTTCAAAGCTATTTCAGTTGATATTTTATTGTGTGTCTTTCTATGTTGTGATGTTGCACTATTGTTTCAGAAAAAGGGTGAAGGTTTGGTACTATTAAAACTTTTAAACCCGCTGCATTTGTTTGCACCTGTCCTAAGTCAGGAATCTGATGTTCAGTAGTTGTCGTTTGTTGATGTGGTTCATAAGTGTTTCTCGTTTTTTATATAGATTAGACCGTTGGTTTTCCCGTTTGAATGGTTTTACACTAGTATTTTTGGGGGCCCTTTATAGCTTACTGTTCGGTGTGAGCCAAGGCTCCGTGTTGAAGACCGTACTTTGACCTATAATGGTTTACTTTTATAAATTTTGAATTGGATGGAGAGTTGTCTCATTGGCACTCATACCACATCTTCGTATATCTATGTAAAGCTTTCACTGTAATTAAATAATTGCCTGATTTTGGATAATTTATTTTGTCATCTTACCACGTAAAGAAGTACCCTTCCGGAGCACCTGAGATCAACCCCTGGTTTTTGACGGGGTTTGTGTTTCTCAGTCTTTAGTTTTCTATGTTGTTTTTTGTCTTCTATTGTTTGTCTGTTGATCTTTTTCCTTTTTAGCCATGTCGTTGTCAGTTTATTTTCGACTTATGAGTTAGAATGCACCTTTGTTATCTTCGCCTCTCTTTTAAGGTGACCTATAGTTGTTAATTTCTGTGTCATTTGGTCTCTTGTGCTCTTGTGAAGAGTTGTCTCATTGGCAATCATACCACATCTTCTTATTTTTATACATGTAGTAAAACACCACTTTATATCAATATACATACCTACACCAGCAGCTACCATCTTTTCATTCTGGAGTCAAGGGCCTTTTGAAATCACATATTTTACTATGATACTAGTGAGTAAATTTTTACTTAAAACTTAGTGAATGAAATCCGTTTTACAAACACCTGTGATACAAGTAGTCAGCCATGAACGATCAATAGACCAATTAAAAGATTACTTGAGTTGTAAATATGTGCTAAATTTGATACTAGTAGTCTATGAAAATGTATATACTATGAAATTAAGAGCTCGGTCTAAATTTCATAGTATATGCCTTTTTATAGACTAACCGATACTTTTACACCAAATGTCAATCATTCCCGTTACCAATAACGGAACTATTATGTTACACGAGTTGTGATTGAATGGAAAACGCACAGAAACAGTGATTGAAGTATATATAAACGGTGATTGAAGTATATATAAACGGTGATTCAAGTATATATACAACTTTGAGTACTGTTACTCTCAGATCTGTACTTAGTGTCTTTTTGTTGTTTGGATGTACAAGTACCCGTCCACGTCCACTTGTATTTGTAGCATTTGTATTTTTATCCATCTAATGAGTTAAGCCTCTTTCAACTGATTTTTATAGTTCGTTCTTATGTTGTACTGTTACACCACTGTCCCAGGTTAGGGGGAGGGTTGGGATCCCGCTAACATGTTTAACCCCGCCACATTCTGTGTGTATGTGCCTGTCCCAAGTCAGGAGCCTGTAATTCAGTGGTTGTCGTTTGTTTATGTGTTACATATTTGTTTTTCGTTCATTTTTTGTACATAAATTAGGCCGTTGGTTTTCTCGTTTGAATTGTTTTACAATGTCATTTCGGGGCCTTTTATAGCTGACTGTGCGGTATGGGCTTTGCTCATTGTTGAAGGCCGTACGGTGACCTATAGTTGTTAATTTCTGTGTCATTTGGTCTCTTGTGGAGAGTTGTCTCATTGGCAATCATACCACATCTTCTTTTTTATATTAAGATGTCTGTGTCGAGTTTGCGGAGACCTCTTAAAGTAAAATAGTCGCCACAAAAATATAGAATTTCCTTCATTTAAAGCAATCTTAACATATTGGAAAAAGGTTTTCCTCGTTAGAAATAAAATCATAAATATTCATCTTAACATTTTCCCCTAATATTCCAGTTCCTGATACTATTGATGCGCAGTGCTCATCGTTATCAACCCTATCAGCCAATACATATGAAAAAGTCATAGAGAAATCAAAAGAAAGGTAAGCTATATGTTCATGCCCCAGCCGTCACCGGAGGGGGCATTTAGTGTTACCCTTGTCCGTCCGTACGTCCTACGACCCAAAATTGGTTTCCGTTCTTTAACTTAAGTTTGCCTCAACCAAACGATATGAAACTTATACACAATGATTATTACTACAAAATACAGATCAAGTTCAAAAACAAAAAAAGTGAATGGTGGAGTTCACTTAAAATTATTATTTCGAAAAGCGTCCTAACGGAACCGGAAACACGACCATTAGCTTTTAGGGATGTTCGCTACTCTTGTTTTTGACTTGTTATCATATATTCAGAATCCGCTAGTTTTATCCATGTAGTGCCAATAAACATTTTGAAAAAGCTTGTTATTTTGAAACAGATGAGCGAACATCTTTAATTAATTCTATCTAACTCAACATTTTAATTGTCATCAAACAACAAACATAAAATCAAATAAGCATATGATTATAGTACGCATTTTAATTACATGTACATATATGTATTTTATTTAAAACAAAATGAATATAAAAATTGTCCGGCTTCTATTTCGCCTGAGCAGATATACTAAGTTACAGTAATGTTAATCATGTTTGGAGGACGATGTCGTCTATGACAGTAGAAAATCAATGTATTTGTATGGTGAATTGATAAATTGACAACGCCATGGTATAAACCAAAAGACGACGAAAAGGCATACAAGATTACAAAACAGTATAGTAAACTGAATACTGAGCAACACGAACACAGCCAAAAACTGGGGGTGATCTCAGGTGCTCCGGAAGGGTAAGCAGATCTGGCTCTACTAGTCATGTAGTGGCACCAGACGTGTTGCTCGTGGTAAATGTAAATTCGGTGATGAGTCTCATTCAGTGATGTCAAAAACTAGGAAAAGAGGACGGAATATTGTGTCATGACAGTTGGACCACATCCGTGGTCATCTGTCATACTGATGTCTCATAATTTTGAAAGAAATTATTTCGCATCTGTTTAAATTTAGTACATTGATTGTTATGATTTTTATAATTATCCTTGTTCTTTAATCATGACACATGTATACAGGGGTATCGATTTTCCCTCTAATCAGGCTTATTCTAAATCAAGCTCTCTCTAACCTTTTGTCATGATTATTGACATGTAATTGAATAGCTTTCAAACTGTGCATGCATTACATGACTGTGTTTTGTTTCATATTTGAATTTTTCAGTAATTTAGACTGTCATTGGACAATTGAATCTCCGGACCATGTTGAAATAAACGTCACAAAGTGGTCATTGGCACAGACATGCGCAGAAGACAGCCTTCAGATTTATGATGGTACTTTTGTTTATATCTTATTAAAATATTAATCAAAACGAAGATTGAAAATGGGTTAAAAACACTAAAACAGCACGTACTGTTTAGGAAATAATTATCCGAATAGAAATAACTACCTTTTTTTACGAAAAAGGGAGTTCGTATGCTAACTCCGCCCAAAGCATTAAAAACTTGAAACGTAAATGAGTTTCGTGTTATAAAAGACTCATTAATCTAGCTAATTCTGTACGACATATAAAGAAGAAGAACTTATGTCGTATTTGAAAAAGTATATAAAGTATATACATACAAAATATGAAGAAAACGTCGTTGAGACTACTATCAATCAACACAAATTATCGCAACACTTTAAAATGTCACTGGGCCATGTGATCTTCGGTGGTTATATGATTGATTGGTTGTTTTTATGTACATTAAAGGGGGTCTCATTGGGGGGGGGGGGGGGGGGGGGGGGGGGGGTTCTGATCCCGGATCCCGCTTACTGTTTTGTCAGATTCCCGTATCCCGCTTATACTATGTACGTAAGCAATTCTCATTTTTTTGTAATTTCCCGTGTCCCGCCAGACTTCATTTCCCATTTTCACGGCACAATAATTTGACTTTCACGTGTCACGCTTACAAAAAATCGGCAATCCCGGGTCACGCTTAGACCCCAATGAGACCCACATTAAAGGTATACAAGAGTGTTAGAAATATAGTCCAATATAAAGGACCGGAAATCAACAAACAAATGTGTATTAATAGACTATTTTCATATTACCGACTTTTGACTCCGGATTATATAATTTGTCGACTGGTTACCTTGGACATCATGGTACCAAGTCTGGTAAGAGCAAGCTAAAGAAGTAAAACCAAGCTTTCAATCGGTACAATTTTGGGGAAAAATTACCTGGTTAATATTTTTTTTTCACTACAAAATCATCGGAAAACAGTAAACTTTCCCCTCAAATAACACCGATTATATGTTTGATTTTACTTATTTTGGGTGCTCTTACTTGACCGAGTACCATGATATCCAAGGTAACCAGTCGACAAATTATATAATCCGGAGTCAAAAGTCGGTAATATGAAAATAGTCTATTCAAGGAGAATGATACGGGTTATCCAACAGTGGGACAGCAATCGAACAACACAAAACAACAAAAAAAGATATTTTGATGTAAACGTGCGGTCTTCGACAACAGGGACGAGTATTAATAAAAGACGATGCGTGGTACACTTTAATGAGACAGCAACCCAGGGACATAAATAACCAAAAAACTTAGGCAGCGTAAAGTCGAACGTGTACATCTGTCTATACCACAAGTCAAGCTCAAAATTGCCAACATTGTTTTATCTTGCGAATAAATTAATCAACAAATCAGACCATGAACGATTTTATAAACAATGTATCTTTTTTGGTCTGGTGTTGTGTCGAAGCAGAGTTCTTGTTCGATATTGAATTTTGCCTGTCTATATAGCATTGTTGGATAGCTATACTGAACTTAACCAAAAAAGTACGTATTTGCTTTAGCATTTAGTATTATGATGACTGCTGATATTTGAAAAATGATTTTAGGACATAATACCAATGGTCTCTTGCTGGCTCAACTTTGCAGCTATGGCTCAATCAAAATTTTGGTCTCAGGTCGTCGAAAGGCGCATGTGTGGTTCAAAACCGGAAGTACAAGCACCGGAACTGGAATAACACTAACGTACAAATCTTATGGCCAACGTATGTATTATATATATCATAGCTAACTTTCTAATTTGATAGCATTGGAGACTTAATATTTGTCTGTTTATACATATATATTCATGTTATATTCTTGTTTACAGTTAAAATCAATCCTAACTTAACCTTTCTTCAGAGCTGTCAGAATAACCTGTCTAGATCTATTTTAAACTGGTCTAATACAGATTAGTCTAGAGTTGTTCAACTGTCCAAAACTTTTCTAGCCGAAGAACAGCTCTTATCAGAAGTTGTTGCAAAGATGTCGGGAAAACTGTTCTAAAGACTGTTGCCGAATAGTTCTATTGACAGAGAGGTCAGAACTGATCTCTACTTATTTATTGTTAACAGTTTTCGTCCAAAAAATGCACGAAATATTTGCCAGTTGACACTAAGCAAAATATACCGACCAACCAAGCTCAGCGGGCTGTGAACCTTTTGCTGAGGGTTCGACCTTGTGTCTCTAGAATGTATAAATCAGCAATGGATATCTAAGCACACAATATGAAAGTTAAACTCGTTGCCTTGAATAGGGAGAACGTCATGTACCCTGGTGTTCAAACAACCTAGCATCTGACAACCCTTTGCAGTGCTGTATTCAAGAAAAATGTCTTTCTTCTTCGAATATACTTTATTTCTCTTTTGCAAAACAAAATGAAAAAAACGGGTGGTAGCATCACAAGTACTAATCTTCAATTTTTACCTGGAACACTTTTATATTAACAATAAAAATAACCCTTGTGCTAGAAATTCCTTCCAAATAAGCTTGATGATATCAGATTTGGCAGAAAAATTTCGAAATACAAATATATTATAAGAAAACAGGTTTTTAATTAAGCATATCCACATTCTTTTTATGGCCTTGGTATGCAACCCTAATTAAATTGGTGTTATTTTTGGTGGACTTTAACTCAACATTCATGGGTTGTGTTTAATCTTATCTTATTATTAACAAATACTAGATACCAGGATCAAAATTATGTACGCCAGACGCAAAGGTACTCTATTCCTTCTATTATTTTAGATTTACCTTCTTGTAAACCTGGATACGAATGGCCTCAACGACGCTATGTTAAAGCTGACGAAACACATCAAGTTATCACCTCTGAGAATTATCCTAACAACTACCCAAGGTAAGTTTGATTGTTTAAGGATGTTCGCTACTCTGTTTCAAAATAAATTATAAGATAATAATAATAAGCTTTTTTAACGACTGTTCGAAAATGAAAGTATATAAATAAAGGAACTAAAAAAGCAAAAAAAAAGGGTCTGTGTGCTTGTTTTCGAAAAATAGGCCATTGAAAATTTAGAGGGAAATGATTCTCTCTAAAGTTTTTTTAAAATACTTATTAAAATGGCCGCTTTTTTGTTTCAAAAACTGTGGAAAATAACAAGGATTTTATAAGATTTTCAAATATGGCTTTTAAATCTATGTTTAATAAAATTATAAAAAGAAAAGAAGGGTTAAGCAGGCAAATTTTGTAATAGCAATATATGGATAAAATCAGAGGATTCCGAAAATCTGGCAACAATTCAAAATCAAATTTATGGATCCGCCACTGTTAAGTATCATCGGACGCCATTGCTTACATTCCAATAGCGATAAGTCTCAATTCGATCAGTTCAATAAACGAATCTGTCTTACTGATTTTTTTATTAGTGTAACTTGATCTCCCAAATATGTATAAATATTTTCCACTTGGCATGCATCAATCAACAATCAATCAATCATTTAATTTGAAAATCAACAAACATCTTTGGAATACGTCATTCAATATCACGCAATCAACAGTAACTAAATTCATGCCTAATAACGGTACCAAATTTGCTACAGCAGACAAATTTGCAACAATGGTGCTTTTTTCAATTATGCCTGTGACCAACATCTTTAAAAACACAAAACATTAAGCAAACGTTGAACAGCTGAAAAAGCGAACAGGATAAAAAAAAGAAATAAAGCTTAACTCGAATCAGAGCAATATATGAGGGGGATACTTCCATGAATTGAAATTGTTTCTACAATGATATAATGTCAAAGTACAGCCATACCGGGAAAAGGAATCGGAGCTATACATAAGCTAGATTCATTCTTTTATTTAAAACGATTCCTAAAATTTGTCTCAACGTGTGGATCTCTATTGATCTATTACAGAGATGATAAAGAGGAGTGGGTTATTATTAAGCCTAGTTCCTCCACACCTCTGGCTATTGTTGTGACTCACTTTCGTCTATTACAGAAGTGATAAAGAGGAGTGGGTTGTTATTAAGCCTAGTTCCTCCACACCTCTGGCTAGTGTTGTGACTCGCTTTCGTCTATTACAGAGATGATAAAGAGGAGTGGGTTATTATTAAGCCTAGTTCCTCCACACCTCTGGCTATTGTTGTGACTGTCTTTCGTCTATTACAGAAATGATAAAGAGGAGTGGGTTATTATTAAGCCTAGTTCCTCCACACCTCTGGCTATTGTTGTGACTGTCTTTCGTCTATTACAGAAATGATAAAGAGGAGTGGGTTATTATTAAGCCTAGTTCCTCCACACCTCTGGCTATAGTTGTGGAGGATATGGATATAGAAGACACTCATCAATGTGGGTTTGATTACCTCGCTGTATATGACGGTAAGAACTTTTATAAATAAACAAACTTTTTTTCGTGAAATTCAGAAATCGATAAGAGAAAAAGAGTCGGAAGATACAAAATTGACAATCTAACCTCATGATTCAAAGAGAGACCGACAAACCATGCCAAATAACAAAACAAAACGACGAAAAGACATACAAAAGTCCAAAACTAAAGACTTGAGCATCAAAAAGCCAATTAAATGCCGGGATTGATCTTAGGTGCTCTGGAATGGTAAGCACATCCTACTTCAAAGGAAAATAAGAAAATACAAAGGGGTCAGATGTGTAAAACTTAAGTCCATTTCTCAACTCTGATACCTCAAACTTCACAACACTTCAAGGTGAATTCTTTACGGCAGTAGTTCATTGTTGGTATACATGTGTATGTTTTGTCAGTCTTAATGGTAATTAACTAACATTCTCAGATTTTCAAATTTCAAATATCTTTGTTTCCCTTATTATTGACTTGGAATTTAAGGCTTTTGCTTCTTTAGCACTCAATACTTTTTTCGTTGATGTCACCGTGAGGGGGGAGAATGTTATTAGTAATTTGAATTTATAAGTCTTTGTTCATTGACCTTTTACATATTGCCTATAAGCTAGCTCTTTTTGGTCGAAATGGCATTATTATAATTATATACCTCAAATATTGAACTTTTCAGACGGACTTCATTTGAATTTGCTTTTCGTTTTACTTTATTGACTTATTAAATAATCTCGTAAATTGTGTCGTGAAATCATTTAGGATAACTGAGACTTTTCTTTTCATGTTGTTTTTGTTTTTGTCGAATTACTGAATGCCATTCGGTGACCTGTATCTGAGGATATTTATTTTCTCGTCGTTTCGGTTTTTATTTGGAATAGTTGTTTCTCTTATACCAAATCTCCTTCTTATTGTTATCAAGTTTCAGGAGGATATTATTATAATACACTACGTTTGAAAATACAATTGAAAGGTAATTAGTGAATGTTGTCGTTGTACGTTCCTGAATTTGTTCTATAGGATAGATTGTAGAGTTCCAGATTTCCATATTTTTTACAGATATTCGATGGTCTCTTTTGTTTTTTGTGTAAACAGTTAAAATCAATATTTTTTTTTTATTATTTTGCATGTTTAATAATATTTTAGTTACACATTTGTTTTATTACAGGGAAGTGTTCAGACGACAAAGAGAAAGCAAAGTTATGTGACGATAGAAAAGGATCTATGACCTTAACGGGAAACACATATTCCCTGATCAGATTCCATTCTGATACTGCTAGAGTAGGAAAAGGTTTCAAACTTCGTTTCTACTTGGGCACTGTTGAAGGTATGGAATTTTCGTTTTCTGTTTTTGGTTGGTTTCTGCTATTACTGAATTGTCAGTTTTAAGCCGATAATAATTCGTATTGCTTATTTTCAAAGTCAATACACATGTCCGGGCCCCCTTGTTTCCTTGGTTTGAAGAAGTATAGAATTAGCTATCAAAGGTACCAGGATTATAATTTAATACGCCAGACGCGCGTTTCGTCTACATAAGACTCAGTGACGCTCAGATCAAAATAGTTATAAAGCCAAACAATTACAAAGTTGAAGAGCATTGAGGACCCAAAATTCCAAAACGTTGTGCCAAATACGGCTAAGGTAATCTATTCCTGGGATAAGAAAATCCTAAGTTTTTTCGAAAAATTCAAAGTTTTGTAACAGGAAATTTATAAAAATGACCATATAATTGATATTCATGTCAACACCGAAGTGCTGACTACTGGGCTGGTGATACCCTCGGGGACGAAACGTCCACCAGCAGTGACATCGACCCAGTGGTGTAAATAGTTATTAAAGGTACCAGGATTATAATTTAATACGCCAGACGCGCGTTTCGGCTACATAAGACTCATCAGTGACGCTCATATCAAAATAGTTATAAAGCCAATCTGCTATGTCTGCCATCTAACAGTAAAAAGGGAGCGACGGTTTGACTATGTGTGATGAATGAATACGCATCCACTTTGGTTCAAAATAGAGGCTTCAATAACTGATATTTCGTATAAAGATAGAACCAATATCTTTGGAGATGTCCATACGATAAAATTTGCAATTTTAATTTGTTGTCCTTTTCAAACCTTCCCTCATTTTCCGGTGGCAGTACGAATTTTAAGTCCTTCAATTCATTTTACAAAACCTGCCTATTGAGTTAATTGTTATTTAGTTCTTGTAGATGACACTGGAATTAAAATGAGCACATTTAATCAACCAATTATTAATCTTTGTTTCCATTTTTTACGATTTTTAAATATTTTTTTTTAACTTTTTACACCCGTTCCAGTGGAGTTTCAGCCCCTCGGATTCAAGAACCAATGCGTTTGATTATAAGCCTTGTATCTTTTATAGTAATTGGTATTTGTTTCAGCAGCTCTTTTCACAAAAAATCTCATGTTAGAAATTGACCGTAAGTTGTACTGAAATGTTCATAACTTGCGATTTTTTTCTCGCAAGATTTTTTGTGAAAAGGGTCCCTGAATTAGAACATTGCCATACATTTTGTTTTTAACAGATAAAATACATATAATACATACAGATTTTTGGGAAAGTCCATCGACCAGTGCTTTGATATACACGCATTGAACATAGTTTAGCAGTTTTTTACAACACGAAATGGATGAGAAGGAAGAAATTTTACTGAATGAAAAATGTTTTAAAAAAAAGTATTACAATTTCAAAATATTTTAGAAGAAGGGTTTTTGTCATATACCTTTTTTCTGCTACTTGCAACGATGTATTAAAATGCGACCACAACACCAGCGTGTCAAGTACTTAAGCAATAATGTTTTTTTTTCAATACAAAAAAGAGAAGATGTGATATTATGGCCAATGAGACAACTATATCACAGTTAAAATGAAGTGGTAGTAAGCATTTATAGGACACCGTACAATGAGAGAAAAAAAAAACAATCCCGGCTGTAAAAGGCCCCGACATGGAAAATGTGAATTATTTCAAACGATAAAACTAACGGCCTAGCTGATTCATAACAAAACAATTTACGAATGTGAAAGCGTAATAAAGTATATTTTGGAATCATTTGACACAACGGATGCCCTTAGGGGTGTACTATAAAGTAAAATAACAAAAATGTGAAATTATGAAAAATCTAGAATTTTAAAATTGGTATTATAAATCAGAAGAGCATCAGTTAAGGAACAAAATAAGCTAAAAATATTGATAGGTTATGGAACTCCTTTTCAAGATATTTGATTTTTTTTAAATGGCGGAAAAAGGCTGACTCGGACTTTTACCTTACATTTAGCATTGACATTATTTGGTCTCAAATCGTAAGAAAAGAAATCTAGAATCTGCTTAAATTTTGGTAAATGACCTTTTATGAGCTATTGAAGTCTTATATGAAAAGAAAAGTGGGTGTTATAGGGCAAAATATATTACCCTATATCGTAGGAAAAAACCCAAGGAGTCCGAACATTTGACAAAAGTTCCTACATCCTTAATGGAGCAGGAACTACTTTACCTGCTTGAGCGCGTGAGTGCAGCCCCGTTTTTTAAGGGGTTTGTGTTGCTCAATCTTAAGTATTCTAAGTATTGTTTTGTAATTATTGATAGTTTTTATTGCCATGGAGTTGTCTTTTTTTGTTTTTAAATGAGTTTTATTACACTTTGGTATTTTCTCTTTATTTTGGATTAATTTAGAAATACTTTCGTGGATGTCTTAGTCCATAGCAATTACCCTTGCATAGATTTTCTTGTTTGACTGTCAGCAATGTAATAAATAGTCCTACTAAGAAATCGGGCTCTAATATATGACAATAGATGAGAACATTATTTTGCGGTATATGCGTCCGTCCCGTTTAACCTTTAAGATTTATGGTTCTAGGTAATTTGTAGTATCATCAGCTTGAAACTTAGTACACTTGCTCCGCATGAAGTGAACTATTCAACATAATATACCAAATTAGGGGTTTGACCGAGCTCACCGAATATGGAAATGTGAAATGTTTTTGTTTAGAAAATATACATTGAATATTAATTGATTCATTCATTCACTGGTGTTTAGCGCCACTTTCAATACTATTGTACTATTTCGTGGCGGTAAGTTTGTATTAGTGGAAGAAGCCGGAGTGCCCGGAGAGAACCACCGACCTTCGGTAGGAAAACTGACAATCATAGTCAATTAGGATTGGAGTCGAGGGCACCTGCCACATGGGGGGATTCGAACACACAACCTTAGTGTTGACTGGCTAGTGATACAGTAGTTCGACTACTGAGACCAATCGGCACCAAGGCCCCCATTGAATATTAAAATAAGAAGATAAAAAGACGTGGTATGATTGACAATGAAACACCTCTCCAACAGACCAAATGACGACGGTAACAATTATTGGGTTAAGTACATATTTTAATTTCCAAATTTTTCCACATTTCAGAATCAAAAGGGGACTCCAGTGCACTACATGCCATTTTGATTGGATTGATAGCTGCCTGTATTGTTGTCATCTTTTTACTTGCATCAGCGAAATTATACATGCGCTGTTTCAAGAAACCAAAGGTTCGTCCGAATCAAGACAATCTGCGTAACCGGAGAGCGGTGCTTGAGGCTCAAGTCCGAAGAGGTCCACTTGGATCAAGACTAGCTAGAATGATGACTGCACAATCTATTCATTCTGAAATGACTCGATACCTGAGCAATAACACCGAGCACGATAGCCGAGTCTCTACATTTGAGATTTCCACGTCACAGTCGTCAGGAACCGGTTTGGTTTATGAAGATGGAATGTTCCAGCCGCCATCGTATAGTGCTCTTTTCCGCCATTCGGAAGAACCATCAGCACCCCCAGCAGACAATAATGCCCCACCCCCTTATCCGGGTTCCCCAGATATGAAATTTGAAGGTCAGGATCATATTGTGAGTGTTGCTCATGCGTCACCCATTCACGATAACAATAAGGCCGGTGATGGCTTGACAAACGTAGAGACGGTCCCTCCACCACCTTACAATTCTACTAACTAAACCATTCAAATAGATGGGTTTCTCACCATATGTCCATATTTGGAGAATACATATAGATACTATATCATTTAAAACGACTATCAATACGTTTGTTTTGATTCATCGACAAACATTGACCTAGTTCAAAATCCTATCTATGTTCCATAGATGTTACTAATCTTTCGAAAATAATTTCAAAAATCAAAGTGTTATTTTGAGAAATACTTCTACTTAGACCAAAACATTCAGAAAACAATAATGATGGATTTGCTAAATACTGACTTGAATTATAAAATGACTTTGTACATATTTCCGTCCAAAGAATATGTTATTTTTATACTTTAATAGTTGATAGATCAAAGCATGATACACAGAGTTTGAAGATATATTTTGAACTCTAGTAACCATGTAAGATAAGCATAATTCGATTGAACTCTTCGTGTAATGATCTCATAAGAAGTAACGATATTCTCCTGTCCTCATTTTATTGACAGCTGTTCTATCGAGAATCAGATAGATGCTGTCTTTACCATTCATTGAATGTGTTTGATCCATGTTGAATGTCCCAAAACAACAAAATTCTATTCCTTTGATTTTGGCTCTCACATCTGCGCGTAGTGATTTTGTGTCATGAATAATAACCATTTAATACTTCCTGTTTCGTTCAATAGAAAATCTGTCAATTATTTATTCAAAAAACATTTTGCTTTTAGAGACTCTCTAATCGATGAAACGAATCAACTAAAAGTACATCAACAGCTGATTAGTAATGTCAGAGATGAGAAACCTTTCATTGGTATTTTTAAACGCGGTATGTGTACTTTCGATATCAGTCCTATTCAGATAAAGGTCTTTTATCATAAGTGTATATTTGCCATTGAATAGGGGTCAATCGTTGACTCACCATTAGGGCACACTGTTTTTTGTCCTCTGAAAATTTTTTTTTATTTCAAAAGTTTTTTGATTAAAAATTTTCAATACATAACAAGAACTTTAAACCATAAGTACATTTTTCACTGTGCGTTTACCAACGAAATGAAGCAATAAATGAAGGCAAGAAGTGATTTATTTATGAATTAAGATGTTTAATTAAAACTCTTTTTCCATTCATTTTGTATCACGTATTTAAAAAAACAATTGAAAAGCAGAATCACAATTTCAATAATAGAATTTGAATGGAGGATGCAGGTGTCAGATTTCAATATCATAGGGATCAAAGGTCATAGTTAAAGTTAGAGTGCAATGACTTTGGTATATGACACATCCCCAGCCCAAGATTTAACTGCAAGTTTGGTTAATCTAAGTTTAACGGAACAAAAGTTATGAACCGGACACGAATTAAACGAGGATTTACTTTAATAAGGGTCAAAGTCAAGGTCATAGTGACCTGATTATTGTATATGATAAACCCCCAGTCCATGATACATCTACATAATCAAGAATCATCAATTCCAGGTCAATGGTTCAAAAGTTATACACTCGACACGAAGACACGAAGCAGGACGGACGGACGGACAGACAGAGACACGGATAGACGGATATGGTATTTCTTATATACCCTTCAAACTTTGTTTGCAGAGGGGGGAGGTATCAAAAGAAAACGTATGTGTTTCTTTAAACTAACATGACGAACAAAAACTAAAAAACTAAAATGCTATTATGCCTTCATTGTGCCTTCATCATTTTATTTTAATATAGGTACTTGAGAAATGTCCTAATATGTGTAGCCATATAATTTTTGAATGTGAACAAACAAAAGTCATTTATGGCCATGCATTATATTTTTACAAACACAATTAAATCTCTCATTTTGTGCTATAGTTTGTTTTCAACTACTTATTTATTATATTGTTATCTTTTGTAATAACAGACTTGACATGAAAACATGATGAAACAAATCCACTCTCTTTTATGTTGTCCTGTAATAAAATATCCATAAGTTTATATGATATTGGACAGAGTATTTTTGATACTCTGTTATAAATATGATTCTTGTTGTTTTTGTACTCTGTAATATCTTTACGTTTAGTCAATTAAAGGGTAATTTTTATTTTAAGCTTTTACTTATATCTTCTTGATTAGCGCATTGGTTGTTACACGTCTTTAAACGACTTAGTGCAATAGACTATTTTCATATTACCAACTTTTGACTCCGGATTTGATTTTTTTTGGTTAGGTACTCTGTTCTAAGACATCCTGGTACTCGGTCAGGTAAGAGCAACCACAAAAAGTAAAATGAAACGTATAATTGATGCATTTTTGGGGGAAAGTTTACTGTTTTCCAATGATTTTGTCGTGTATAGAAAACATATAACAGTTCATTTTTTCCCTAAATTGTACCGATTGTAAGATTGATTTTACTTCTTTAAGTTGCTCTTACTTGACAGAGTACCAGGATGTCCTACCACAGAGTAGGTAACCTGTCGAAAAAATAAAATCTCTAGAGTCAAAGGTCGGTAATATGAAAAAAGTCTATAGCAAATGTTTCAGTTACAAGGATTCTAATGCGCATGTTCTCTAAAATTGGTCTAAAGATGAAGAGCGTGAAAGAGGGTATGTTGGATGAAGGCAGCAATTGTCCTTAGCTAACTATGGACCCTTCAAAGAGTTGTCACAAAAGCTTTTTCACGAGAAGAGGACTTGGTACCTTCAATGTACACGAAAACGGATGGAACGTCCGAGGTTCCCATCGTGCATGTCTGTGTATTTATCATAGAGATTTTATCAGTTACTAGAATTTAACTTATTTGAGTTATTATTATTCTCGTATTTGTTTAAAGCTGATGGACCTTGAACGAACTGGTAGAACATGGCTTTTTAAAGGGGGACTGGTATTTTTTTAGACTAAATCTAACAATTTCAGTTAATCTTATCTAAATGCAAAATAATTCGAGATTTTACATTACAAACAATTCCGATCATTTGTGCCTAAATTAACAGAAAACAAACGTAATAAATATTTGTATGTCAACGCTGCTGACTTCTGGGATGGTGATACGCTAGGGGACATAGGCATGTGTCGTAATATCCAAGCTTTAAATAACTCTTGTAGTACATGTAACCTTTTTTTTCTTTTTTTCTGGGGAAAGGGGCAGTTCTCCTGTTGCAAAGCAGCATTTAATTTTATTGAATGTATTCTCATTTACTAGTGACACTACACATTTCCAATTATTCCAACTAACTCACCTTATACTGCCTTTTTTTCTTCTAATAGTTTGTCAGTGTTTTGTATTGCTTGAATATTTACCAGGCTTACTTAGCATCTTGGTATGCGTGGTCCTAGCTGAAAAGGTCGTCATCTTCCTACGTAAAGCTATAAGAATTTTTGTTAAACAGTTCTTCTGTGCTAAACGTGACAATTGTTATTTGGGGAAAGTATCTTTTAATTTCTTAACCTTGAAACCGAACTTTCAAGTAGTTCAAAGAAATAATGATAATTGTTTTATCATTGAAAAATGGCATTAGCAACATTCAGTAAATAGTCCGAATGATGGCCAGAACATAGAAATTGTTATCCACTTTATGTGCCAGGAGAATGTTCTGAATATGTTAGATATTTTTTAAGCATGTTTTTTATATATATTTAAATAAGAGATTTGAACAGATATGAAATTAAACTATAACTATCCCCTCGATGGGACTAAAATACATGTAGATACAACTTTTAAAAGCTGTACCGAACTACCCTCCACTTCTATAAATAGTGAACCAGCAACATTTGAGAAAGTCACGACACAAATGATAATTTCCAGCCAATAATTCCGTTAGATCATATTTGCAGAGCCTGGTACAAATTTCTGACAGGTTAACTGTAGTTGAGCGGTATATTTGTATTTGTGTATATGTAAACTTACTTACCTGTTTATTCCGATAATGCACCTTCGTTTGTAGCCGCATTAAATGTATAACAACATCAGATGAATGTCTATATCAATCGAAATTCATTCCAAAGAGGCGCCTTGGCAAAGCGGTTGGTGGGAACGATTAATCGACATGACTGAAATGACATTGAAGAAAGGTTTTGGTAGAGCACTCGTCAGCGTACAAACATTGAGACCAATACTTACGGAGATTGACAACTATCGCCCGCTTACATATATATCGTCTGGCATAAGAAATCCCGAACAATTGAAACCGTCTCATCTTTTACACGGAGGAATTATTTCGACGACAGAGATGAACAACGGTATATACAATTCGGAGATTCAAGAACATGACACAAACACATTATTTGAAAGAAAACGACATTTGTGAGACCAATTTGCAAAACGTTGGTCTAACGAATACCTAATTGGATTACGCAATATCATCGAGACTCCGGAAAACATAATGGACAAGAAAAAGAAATCAACAAAGATAACAAACATAATCTGAAGGTATTGCATAAACTCAAAACAATTAAGCGAGACCTGGTTCGTCGACAGTCTTAAGTTGCTCCTGTTAGGCATGTATTACCCGCCATGCGAAATCACACTCAATCATAATGTCACAATCGGGAATAGGACACACTCAGGGAAATTATAGATTAGACAACTTTACTGGTATTTCAAGATCTAGACCACGAAAACATGTCGCTGGTGAGTTGAGACACCGACACATCGTATCAATTCAACCAATTTGTGATGATAATTGTAAAACTTATAACGTTACGATTTCATTCGTTCATCCTCATTACTCTGTTGGAGCAGTTTTGTGTAAGGAGCGCACACCTGTTAATAAAGTAAAGTGTGAACATGCACGAGCGTAACGCATTAACTGAGATATGTAAACGCCATACAATGGAACAGACGATATGCTACTGCTGAGAAATGGGAATAGACATACACGAATTAAGGGAATAAGTCTTGTCGAAAATTAGGCTTTCTATTTATTTGTGATCTTGTGTATCATTTATTATGACGTATAAAAACAAATACTCGCGATACTATGGTTGAGTTTTTAATGCAATGATATCATGAATAGTCACCTTTTATATTTAAATTGAATTGCTGTAACGAAATGTAACATAGCGGCGTGCACTATTTTATGATTGACAATTTCAACTGTAGATTGTATTGTTAATGAAATAAAATTGTCTTTCTTGTACCATACATTCTTATTTAAACTAATGTATTGAAGTACTCTGCAGTTGGCATGCGCATCAATATTCTTGCTTTTTCAGGTAGGATAATCAATATTATTGCGTTGATTCGTTACTATTTACGTTTTATTTTGTATGGTGGGGTGTTAAATATGTTAAAATGCCGGAATTAAACTCGTCCAAAACTGTAATTTACCTCTGATATTAAAATGGTGATATAATATAGGATTAAACGTTTTATTCCATGTCTTCCATATGAACGAACTTGCGAGTTGCATAAGTTAAATATCTCAAATAATGAAATTTGAATTAATGAATTTACCGGACATGACTTCTTGCTACATATTTGTAGAGACATTGAAATAACACAATTGTGGGAATTATTTATGTAGCTTCACAATGAACTTAGTTGGATTATATTAGTACTTTTTGAACAGATGAGACGTATTATATCGAGACTGGAAAAATAAAAATAAAAGCGAAATATATGTCAAAATGAAAGTGAGTATTTTTTCTAAACTTTGAAATCAGTTAATGAACTTACATTCCTGCCTTTATAATGGAATTACCCTCCGGGCAAATGCTGTTTGGAAAATAACAGACACTATCGTTTTCAATTTTCATAATTTAATACTATTCATTTATCAAGTATATACTGAACGATCACAACGGGTCAAGTTATTTTGACATATTCTTTTCAATACATTAGATGAAACAATTGTTTACCGATGTTAAAATCTTATTCAGACGTTATGAAGATACAAATCAAGGTTAAAAAAATGAGGGAATCGCATTAACTCTAAATGTAGCGAGGTAGGTGCCTTGCTATGCATACATCACACGCTATACGAATTCACACGCAGTCAAAAGGTCACAAACAGGACACAATCGTGTGTTTTACCGATGAGACGACTATTCTTTTATATTTAGATCTTAGTCCACAGAAAAAAGTAACGTGTGAGAAGAGATTTCAGTAGTCCCCCCCCCCCCCCCCTCCCCCCCTAGAAATTTAACCCATATATATATAAATCTCATATTATTATTTTTTTATTAGCATTCATCCTTTGTTAATAAGTATCAAATTAGTATTTCCCTTCACCGTGCTTAATAGAAAGTTTTAAATAAACAATAAAATTTGACTTATTGTTACAAAACATATTTTTGTGGACAGCACAGAAAACAATTTTGCATGCACATTTTGTGAATCCGCGACAATCGCCTATCGATTTTGTCAGTGCTGCCTCCGAACGCTAACAACTTTGTACTTTTAATTCCTTGATAAGATGTTAGGGTGAACTGCTTTCTTTTAAATGTTGTTGCAAGGATTTCATATATTGTTTTTAGCTGTATAGATTACGTGATTACTAACAATCTAAATGAAATGCATTTTTACATTTGGTAAATAATGTATTTTAGTGGTTATTGAAGTCAATTAATCTTTCACTTCCACGGATGTTATACATGTAGCATAAACTGTGATATATCTAATTGTTGAGGAAAATAATTTTTGGAAGTCGCAGCTGTGATTTTAAATGGCGTTAAAAGAATAAGCTTTATCAACAAACTCTGATTCAGAAGCGATATATTGAGAAGAACTGGTTGTAGAAGGAGGAAGTTTTCATCCAGAGATTATTTTGGGAAATATATACCCATACAATTCCGACGTCTTCCAATCAAAATCGTGATTATCAGTAGTATAGATCAGGCAACAGTAGTTTGCCGATGATCAAATCTCGTATTCAACATTGATAACAAGACGCATGACGTGGGTTAGAAAATATGAGTAATTTGATATAAAACAAATCACGGGATACTATGACATCTCTACAAATTTTCAGGGATATCATGTCATTGCTGCTCGGGATTTATATGTAGTTCCTTATCTTAGTAATTCGCAAAATCCCTGTTAAACTTTCATTGAATAAGTAAAGGCAAACATGATTTTATTTTTTTTTCCAAATATGCCGCCG